GAAAATGACATGTTCTTGAATTTGTTCGAGCACCATGACCCGCCATGAAACTGGAATAAGTACTTGTCCACCCATATTAACACGCTCATACATAAGGATTTGCGCTCGCTCACTCATACTCACACGCACTCGCTCATGCACTCGCACACGCACACGCTCACGTACATGCACATGCATACGCTCACGCACATTCACACGCACACGCACACGCACATGCACACGCACACGCACACGCACACGCACACGCACACGCACACGCACACGCACACGCACACGCACACGCACACGCACACGCACACGCACACGCACACGCACACGCACACGCACACGCACATGCACACGCACACGCACACGCACACGCACACGCACACGCACACGCACACGCACACGCACACGCACACGCACACGCACACGCACACGCACACGCACACGCACACGCACACGCACACGCACACGCACACGCACACGCACACGCACACGCACACGCACACGCACACGCACACGCACACGCACACGCACACGCATACGCACACGCACACGCACATGCACACACACATGCACACACGCACACACACACGTACGCACACGCACACACACATGCACACGCATGCACACGCGCACACACACACATCACAATTAGTGAATGATGTTGGTTTTCTGGTTTTTTTTCTGGGGTTTTTTTTCTTCTAATCAACAAATGAATTTTCTCTGATCGACCTCCCTTATTTCAGACGAGCTGCTACTACAAGGTTCATGAATTGTCTCAGATTCTTGATCTCCCCTGTAATATTTTTTGGTCTTTTGATTAAAGTTGTTTGATTTTTCCTGAGTTTTGAAGTGATGGATTTGAAAGGATTTTGATGGATTGAAGTGTTTTCTTTGAAACCTAGAGCCTCCGTCTACCACAATTTTTTTGTTATTGTTATTAATTTTAAAGATAGATGTGGAATGTTTTTGTAATGATTTTGTATCAGGTTTTTATGGGTCTTAAATCAAATTTTATTGTCTAAGATTTACTGCCTCTTACTTCAAAATTAAATTTTAATCAAATCTTTAATAATAATTTATTATTTTGTTTAACCAGGAAAATGATGAATGTGATGATTACATCAACTACCATAGATATAGCCTAACCTGTAAGTGAAGAGATAGCAGGTTTGATTTCTTTTCCCATGGATGTTCATATTTATATCTGATAATTTCTTTCTAATTTTTTTTAATTGTGCAAGTATTTCTTGATCGTTTTGATGATTTGTGATATTTTTACATTCAAGGTGAGAACATATACTTTCCTTAGAAGAGGAAGAGACAAATCATTAGTTAATACCATTGAGAAAGAAACGAATCGGAGACTACAGCAAACTTTTTGGCATGCTTAGTTAGACTTAGAGCTGAGCATTTGCATTATTAAGGAGACTTAAATAATTTTGCAAGGGAGTAAGTTTTTGATTAAATGATTTGTCTGTTGTTTGGTGTGTAATCTGTGAAATTTGTATGCAAATAACGCAGTTATTCAGCACAATATGTGAAGGAGTACATAGATGACGCAAAACCGTTATTCTCAGTTGGATAATATTGACTATGGTCTAGACACTATAATCAA